ATTTTTGGGTCAGTAGTTAAGGTTGGCATTAGGGTTAGGGGGGATGAGGTTAGTCTCCAGGGAATTAAGGAAATTAATGTGAGTGTATGCAAATTCCCCAGAAATGACCCAAGTAAATATGAGTTTGTGTATATAAAATTGATCAAACCAGAGTGAGTGTTTGTGTGTGTCTTCACCAGATGTTGTTACATAATCTTGCTATACACAGACATTCAACCAAGTGAGGGATTAACTGGAAATTAGATGAGGGGAGGACAGAGGCATCCTAACAATAGACAATAATCTGGATCTGCATCAAATAGCCTTCACAAAGTTAAGAGAATAAGACTGACCCACTTAGAAGATGAAAATCTTAAGATTATTAGGGTTTTATAAATACAACAGCAAAACATTAGAAAGGTTCTCAATATAATGCAGTCCACTGCAAACTACAATCTCAGTAGTAAGCATAGAGATTATCACCTCTCTGACAATCAAAACTTAACATTGAATTGGCCACTGAGTTTATGTCAAGAATAAATATTGTATGTATGAAAACCCAAAGGGTAGACATACTGTTTTATAATAGGTCACATGATGGCATGGTGCCTTCAGCACAAGGGGTTATCTCAGGCCCCAGGAACGCTGCTCAGCCCTGCTTTCATTTTTCACAGTGGCCACTCTCTGTATTGCAGCAGAAAATCTCCTGTGGCCTAAAAAGCACTTTCTCCATTGACCACCATTATAAAAGGGACGTTTGATAAGCAGCTGACAGGACATATTGAACTGCAAACATGGTCAAAATGACTCTTTCTATTGCAGATTTTTTTCATCCATGAAGGTTTTATATTTTTAAATCTTTCCTTGGGCCAGGAAAAGCAATTTAAAAATCCCATTGAGAGTAAAATAGACAGTAAAGCAGAGTATGCTTCAGAGCGAGTTAACCTTGTGATTGACAAGTCACTACCATAGCAGTGTCCTCAGATTCTCAGTCAGGTCCATCCATAGATATGTAATGATAAGTAGATACCAGACCCCAAGATGGCACCTATTCAGAGCAATGAATAGGTGGCATCTTGCCATCACATACGGCAAAAAAAGTAAAGTGGTATTTCTTCCTTTGGCCCTGCCCATGAGTTCCCGCTTGCTTCGTAGACCTTACACTGTGATGATGTTAAGGATTTTTAAATCACTTTTCACGGCTCAAAGAAAGTTTTAAGGGGGCGCTGGTGGCTTAGTGGATAGAGCAGGCGCCCCATCTACAAGGCTGTTGCTGCAGCAGCCCGGGTTCGACTCCAGCCTGGGGCCCTTTGCTGCATGTCACTCCCTCTCTCTCTCTCCCCCTTTCACGCTTCATCAATTAAAGGCTAAAATGCCCCCAAAAAAAACTTTAAAAAGAAAGTTTTACAAAATAAAAACCTCTATTCATAGAACTAAGACTCTTAATTGTTTGCAGTTTGAGGGGCCCAGTCGACAGTTTTATGGACATCTTTTTTACAGTGTTTGTCTATGGAGAAACTGCTTTTTGGGCCGCAGGAGATTTTTCACTGCAATAGTGTGAGTGGCTACTGGGAAAAATCAGACACAAGGCTTAGCTCCTTTCCTTGGGGCATGGATCTACCCCTTGCTCCCCTTCAGCTCCATCCTCTCATTTCATCACTTCTTGCTCCAAAAAAACAAGATGGTGACGGCCAAAATGCCAAGTTCCAGGTAGGGTTGGGTCGGTTCTCGGTAATACCAATTTGGTTCGGTACTCCGTCTTGGACCGTTTTTTTTTTTTTTTTTTGAGACCGACCGGACCGCATACTCGGGCGGAACGTACATGGAGCAGACTCTGCGGAGGTCCGCCCAGTAAAAGCGAACGTCCGCAAGCCCTGTGTGCACAAAACACGACTGCGCAGACTCCGCTCCGCGCACTAGTGTCACACAAAAGACTGCTCGGCATGTATTTTTCACATCGCGGGGATTTTTCGCGGACATTTTTACAGGAAACTACAACGCGGAAGTGTGCTCGACTATGGAAACCCGAATGACTGCGGACATTCCTGGCGGAGACGGGTGAGTGCGCATGCGCCAAGGCCTCTACTGTAGCCTGGGGAGTCGATAATGGCGGACAATTTAGTCTCAAAGAAATCAAAGAATGCGCCACTAAGGACACTTTGGCTTTGAGCCAGACGAAGGAGGCAACCCTTGTTTGTACTGATTGAGTAAGCTGCAAAATTTATTTGTAAGGAATAAAAGAAACAACTTGTTACTGTCACTCTGTTGTCCTATGGTCGTTTTTTATTTTAAATGAGTCAATTGCGCCCCCAAGTGGCGAAAATCTGGTATTACCGACTTGATGCGGTTTTTCACAAAAACCGGACCGTTTTTTTTTCTCATACCGACCCAACCCTAGTTCCAGGCTTTAAAATGGTCGTCTACAAACCAGTGGATGATGTCATGGTGGTTATGTCCACCTTTAGTCCAGTCAGTGCTTCCATATTGTGATCTTGAGTGCAAAAACCACAGTAAATGTGGTGATTAGATGGCTGAGCAAATGCCCAATGAACCTGTGTCTTGGCCGCAGAGTGGATTATATTCTATGATCTCAAGGAGGCAACTTGAGTTTATCACTGCGGGCTGATGAAGAGCTTATTTTGCTTGCTTTGAAATCGTGACCTTACTCCCAAAAAGGAAAGGCTTAATTCAACTTAGAATTATGAGCAGAATCAACATTATTTCACAGCTTGAATAGGTGGAAAAACATGCCAGAATTCACGATGTATGTAATTATATTTTCCTGACACTGTCTAAATGTCTTCTAAAATTAGAACATCAGTGTCAAGATTTCTACCCATGATAATTGCACAAATGTTGAGTCTACCCACACTGATGCTGTCTCTACCTGCTGTGGTGATGTATCCGCCCACATCGATGATGACACTGCTCATAATTATAACACCTGTGATGAATTTTTATACCCGGTGTCATGCGATTTCACCCCACCACACTCACTGTGTGTATTAACACCTGGCAGACTGAAGCTGTGCATATTTACACCCTGACACTCTTATTATAACACAAGGTGTGAACGGGGTCTCTAGCTTTCTTGCCCTTTTTCCTCACATGTATGCATGCACACAGGAAAATACACACACATTTACGCATAGGCAGATAGAGCTTTGAGTTATGTGTAAAAACAGAAGAGCAATGGAGAGACTTGTAAGTTGGACATAGTTCGTTTCCCAACTAAATTGTGGCACTGCGTGAGACTTTCCTTGCTACGTTTATGGTCACTCTACATTCCCCTCAGATTGCCCCTTGTGTTTGTTTATCTTGTTATTGGCTGAAAGTCAGTGTTGGTCCTCCAGTTTCACAATTGCTCGGTCTCTTGTTTTACTGTTTTCTCTCTATTTTCTTCTTAAAGAAATACTTCACTCCCAAATGACGATTTTTATATCAATTACTCATCTCGTGTTAAGTTGATTTTGTAAAGAAATCTTTGTTTTTCTCACATGCCTTCACGGTGAATGAAGAACCCAAAAGCAGAGGAAATTTTTAAGGACTTGAGCAACACTATATCAAAACATCCGTTCACAAACTGGGTCACGACTCATGCAGTATAATAAGTCTCATTCATCCAGTCATATGCTCAGTACTACTTCAATGTCACTAAAATCTGACTATTTATGACTGTACTATTTAAAAGTGACTGTAAGCATACCAATATTTAGAATATTTTCACCACTTGCCATTAGGCCACTTACCTTGCCTTTCAAAAGGAGAACTTAATCGAAAGAGAAACTTATCCATGCTCTAGTTAAAGCCAGACCCCATTGCAAAAACTGTAATTTTACCTTGCTGAACACAGGAGCTGCTGATCTACCACTGCCTCGATTCGTTAGTTAGTTTGTGTATTGTGTGACTTTTGTGTTTTAACACTTTCCCCGCCATTGACAATCTGTGTTTTCACTGTTATAAGATAGGGGGCGCTGTTACACGTCTTGTGAAATAGACCAGCACTGCAGTGTCCAAAAACAAACAACGAAGAAGCTGATGGAAAATGTTGATACACTCAGACTCCGACAATTCCTTTTTGATCAACATTCTGAACCCAATTTGGACGAAGAAGCAAACAAGTTCGGTGGGACGAAACGGGATCGTCATGACGGTGACAGCTACACACGGACAAGACAAGCACAGAGGAGACGGAGACAACAGAGGACTGAACAATCACTGAACGTGGCAATGTGTCCCACTATACTTCGAAGAGAATATTATTCTCACTTTCATTTTCATTATCATTATTATTATTTTCATTTATACAGTCTAAACTGATGTAAGGAAATTAGAAAAAGCAAAAAATGTAAATGTGAAACTGATTTTCTCTCTTCTTTACTTTTATGTATATACTGTTTACATATTCATAGAACAAATTATTCTGTGGGTCTTAAAAGATAAGTGAATTTGATCATCAATGCTGGCAGTGGCTGGCAACTTAAAAATAAAACTGGCGGGGAAAGTGTTAAAGGGTTAACTAGGATTCACTAAAGTCACAAAATGACACAGACAGACAAACTGATGGAGGCAGTGATACATCAGCAACTCCTGTGTTCAGAGAGGTAAAATTACTGTTTGTCTCAGTGGAGTCTGGCTTTGAAGAGAGCGTAGATAAGTTTTACTTTATGTTCCGTTTTAAATACTGAGGTTTTAGCATGTGTTTGGGAAGTACTGAGCATACGACTGGATAAATGAGACTTGGATTAGAGTTTTTTGCTGTGTTGAAATTGGATCCCTATAACTTAAATTCATGAAGAATTTTCTGTTTTTGGGTTCTGCGTTCACGGGTGATGCTTGCAAGAAAAACGTTTCACAAATTCAAGGTTAACATACAAATGATAATTTTTGTGGGTGAAGTATACCTTCAACTTCACTGAGTTTCTGTCTGTATCTCAGTTCTGACTTTTATAAGCACATGAACACTGAATACAGAGTACATTACAGATGGGAAGAGGAGGGAAGTGTGATTCACAGCTTACCGAGTCCAGGTATGAAGGTGTTCAGAAACAGACAGATGACAGCCAGAGGGAAAGGCATTGTGGGTATCGCAGCCCGCAGAGGTCCCTTCTTCTCCCTGACCTCCACCACCACTCCTCCGCCTGCTGTTGGGCCTCCAACAGCAGCTTTGGCTCCAGGCTGGTCCTGGTCCTTGACACGCCCCTGCTCTTTTCCTCCATCTATCTGTGCCATCTCTGTCTGCCTCTCTTCCTCTTTCTGGTTTATGTATTAATAATGAAAGTGGTTGGTTCTTGAGGTAGGTTTCTGCAAGTGATTTTTCCTCTCAGTCACTGTCCCTCTGGACTAAGTGGAAGAAGGTGAAAATGATCGATGTTGATTGATTGTATCCTTTGAGAATAGATGAAATATTTAGCAGTACATCTCACAGTTGGCTCACCACCTACAGTAAGTCAGATTCACGAGCAAATAAATAATATCAACAAGTTGTCTAAAAGTAGTGTAAAGCTGTTTTAAATTTGCAAAAAAAGTCTTCAAAATAACCAGAATTTGATTCTAATCCCGAGGAATATAATTAAATATCCTTTAATATTTCCCCAAAGTCAACTTTGAAAACCTTCACACTGATCCAGCTGTTGAAGTCCCACCAAGAAACAGTCAGAAGTAAAGCAAGACTTTTTCTTGAAGAAAATCTTTTAAAGACTGTTGACTTATCCTCATTTAAATCCCTTCACGTCCTTAAAAGTTCTCATCAGAGATCAATGATATCGGCCATTTGTTTCCATGTCCAACATGTTGAATCAGTGACAGTTCCTCCAAGAAAAAAAATCCTTGAAAGATGTTCAGCTCTTTTCAGTAATTCCCTCTGAAGTCACTTTCTGTCTTACGGTCAAATCACGCTCAACCCACACACCTCTCCAGGACAAAGAGAAAGTGCACACAACAACCCCCCTTTTTCTGCTACGGCTCCCCTCTCCCTCTCCTTCTCTTCTTCTCTCTCTCTCTCCCTCTGCTCCTCATCCTCTCCCCCCATTTAAAGGAACAGTGCACCAATCTAACGTTACCGCTCAGTGTGGTCACATTCAACAAGCCGTCCTTCAATGAATAAGTGATTGAAGGCAAAAATTCATTCAACTCTCATTCAGATTGTTAGTGTATAGAATAAGCATGAAGAGAGAAATATTTTCTATAGCTTGATGTGAATAGATTGTAGTTCTGTTTGTTTCATTTATTAAATTCATTTTCACAGATATTGAAGAAAGGGATTAGTCTGTCACAATACTGTAGTAAATATTGTAAAACATGTTTTAAAACCCAGTTCTGCTCATCCATGTGGATATATGACTAGATTTATAGCTGTAAACACAGATAATGACAGAGACATAGACCTTTTTTGCATTGTGCAAAACAAGAAAAAGCATGTTGACCGATTCATTTTAAAGCCAATATCTGCCGATACCGGTGATATGCTGATATTATAGTACATCCCTACATTTAGTCCGTATTTGTGCACGTTTTCTGAAAGCTTACAGACACGGAGAAAGGAAGCAGTACCATCAGTGATTGTGGACGCACTGTAGGGTAGTTCAAGTGAGATAGGAGATGATGAAGACATTTAAACAATGGCAGAACGAAACAAATTAGTAATGTATAATAATATGTTGTAATATGTAGTGAAATTTGTGACAAAAATTCTCCTTCCACGTGTTGGGATGTATACAGACCCTTTTACTATTAGTAAACAGTATGACATTTATTGGTGGGCGGGGCTTAGCTGGAAGCAAAACATTAGCCAGCGTTAGCTAACGAGGTCTTTTGGTTTATTTTAGACAATGGAGGAAGATGATACGAGTGGTGCGTTCAGAAATACTCATTCCGTGTGTCGGAGCGCACAAACTTCAGAGTGCAGTCAGGATGTTCGGTTACCCAGAGCACCGCACTCTCGGAGTGGCATAGCGCACTGTGAGCAGCAGAGCGCCAAGCTGAGTGAATGTGTGATTAAGTTAATCGTTAATTCATGTAGAAATATAATGCTCCATTTCTTCGATCAACAGGGCTCTCATTTTAGTGTAGAACGTCAGACTGAATTTTCGAACACGCTGTGTCAGGTCACTCACTCTCTGGGACTGCGAGTGTTACTTGAATAAGTAAACACTAGGGCCGTAACGGTACATGTATTTGTGTCGAACCGTTCGGTACGCGACTTTCGGTTCGGCATGACCCTGTACCGAATTATTGGGCGCAGGATATTATTTTATTTTATTTTGTTTTATTTTAATTCCGTTTTTGCAAGCCGAACCATTTAAAATATCTAGTTGAGTAAAATTGTTTAAGCTGCACTTTAGATATAAGCATGTTTTGTTTACTGCACTTTAACAAAGTGGGAAAGCTAAGTAAGTTCCTAGTAAAACTGAATCTGAGCAGGCTTTAAAGCTGACCAGCTGCACTATACTTTTTATTTTAATTGAGTAAAACTGTTTAAGCAGAAATTTATATTTATATTTTTCATTCAAACAATGTGGAAAAAGCAGGATTTTATATATATTTGTTTCATTCAAAAATTGTGTAAAAAGAGTTAACTGCTGTGGTGGTACGTTTTAATAAGGTTACCAATAAGTAAAAGATATTTAATAGTTGTCTATTTTTTTCATTACTGTACCGAAATAAACTGAACCGTGACTTGTGTACTGAGATACTTACTGAAAGGTGATTTTTGTGTACTGTTACACCCCTAGTAAACACTGACCAACGGGACCAGACTGGCCGACCTGTGTGCTCTCACTCAGTGGATGGATGATGTCACAGGAAGCCAATCTTACAAAGGAAGGTGACACTTGAACTGTTTCCTCTTGTTTGTTTTGCTATGGAAGCTAACGTTAGCTAATGTGCTAAAAAGTTAGCGTTTCAGAGAAATCCAATATTCCTCTTAATCCCTCCCCAGTTTCTGATGAGGTGGACATGATAACCCTTAATACACATAACGTTATTCATCCCTACAACAGGAAATACTTTTTCCCAAACCTGATTTTAATGATTGCCTCCGTCCAGTCCTTTCGTCTTACCATTTAACCATAGTTGTCTTTGTTTTATGGTGACAAGCAGTGGCGACTGGTATGTGATAAAATTTAAGTTTTGAGCCATGACTCTTCTATTCTGGCTCCCAATAACATAACAAGACCACATTTTAAAATTCCTATGTAGCCCACAGCCCTGTGGGGGAGAGGCAGATTTTGCCTCTAGCTAGTAAAATGATGTAATCGTGACGTCGGCCCTAAAAGGGTCTATGGGGAAGGAACATGGGGAAAGTACACAAAGATGGAGAGAGACAATAAAGAGGAATAAATCAGGACAAGGAGAAGAGTGAAGAGAAGCTTGGACAAAGTGGAGGTGGGATTATAAAAGATAAAAATGAGTGGAGGGCGGTCAGGACGATGGATGACAGAAAACGCTGAGGAGGAGGGGGAGCCGTGAAGGCAGTATCAATATCTCAGTAATTATTCATGCAACCAAATCCCCTAAAGACCAGACATATCTTTCTGTCCCCTCACCCACCCTCCTCCCTTCCTCCCTGACTTTCATTTAATTCCCTCTATCTCACTTTTTCACCTCCTCTTCTTCTCTTCACTGTCGGTGTGAGCTCTACTTCAACACAAGTGGCAAAAAAACACAAAGAAAATCAGTGCAACCCTGAAATTATTCTCAGCCTCTCTCTCTCTCTGTCTCATTCGACTCTTTCCCTCTCTCTCATCTCCGTTTGGTCTCCTAGCAACCCAGGAAGCTGTAGATAATTATACGGAAGATATCGATCTGTCTTTCTCCCCGTCTCTCTCTTAATTTCTGTTCAATTCCCACTTTTAATTTCCTTTTAATCTTCTTTTGGAACACAAATGATAGCTGCTGCTGCAGAAGGTGGTTTTACTCCTCTTTGTCATGCAAAGCGGGCGTTATCATGTGTCTGACAGCGAAGCACTCAGAGAAATCTGGACCACTGAACTCAGATCATCATTGGACTGTTCAGCCAAAGGCACGCAGTGTCATGTGCTGATGCTTATTACCATGACAACCTGATAAGAAAAGTTATACGGCGTCCGTCTTAAAGTGACATGTTGGTTTTGAGAGATGTAGCACTGACTCAGACATGCACCTCTGTTGGGCTTGTTAGAGTTACAATATAATGCCCCCTTCTGTACTTAATGGTGAGCATAGTGTGTGTTTATATGTGTGTGTTTGTGTGTGTGTGCTCCAGATGACATCCCCTTGTGTCCCTCACCCTGGACTAGTTCATCACCACAATGACTCCACTGTTCACACTTTGTTTTTCTCTCGCCTTTCTTCTCCAGCTGACTCTTGCTGGCTTTTATGTTTCCCTGTTCTCCCTTTTCTTCATTTTTCCTCCGTAACGACACAGATATTCCCCAGACGAGTGTATCACAGCGGTTTGTGCTTTTTAGTCAGCTTTTTAGGAACAGACATGATTTTATTGTTCGGATAAAGCAGCAGGAACAAGCTCTTTTTGTGCTCGCCAACAGTGAAGCTTCTTTAGTTTACATGTGTTCATGTATCACTACATCTAAAAAAAATATACCAAATAAATCTGCCCTGACAGACACACACGTTTCTTTAGAGAAGGTAATAGTCCTTTCTAAAGCTCAAACTGAAACTTAAGGACTGTGACCAAGTACATTTACCATTGTAAGTATAGCTTGTTTGCAATCATTTGACTGTTATGAAGCATGAAATTCAGATAAAAGGCAGGAAGTGATAAATCCATATACTGTGTGAACTGTAAATAGAGGAACGTAGCTACACAGAAGGGTTAGATGAACCTCCAGGCAACAGGTATTGTCAGAAAATTGAAACTCAGGTTGGATGTGATCCATACAAAACGAATAAAGGTTATTTTTCCCTTGACCCATTTGCCTGGTGTGGACATGATTGTTACAAATTACCTGATCCCCCAGACTTCCTGATCTTACTAACGTTAAACGGCTAGCCGATAGAAGTGTACAAGAGTCTGGCGGACTATGACAAGGTATTTTGTGTGTGGTTGGATCCATGATGGAAACAACTGCTGTCTTGTTTGTTGCAGGGTGAGTAAATGTGATTGAGTATAACTGTCTTTTACATTTAAACTCTGCACAGCTGTCAGGCTAATGTTACCTAACTTTAGCTACTATTTTGTACCTACCAGGTCCACCGTTCCCAGTGAAACAGTGGCTAGTGGCCCCCCAACAGGACATTGTACCATGCTACACCACAGGAACTGCTGACAAAGAGCTCAAGGTGTTGACCTGGCCAAATTTTTTGGATCCCGATCTGATCAAACATCTGTGGGATGTGCTGGTACCCCACCTCACATCGTACAGGAATCAAAAGATCTGATGGTAACGCCCTGGTGCCAGACACCAGTTGACACCCTCCAGAGTAGGGATGGGTCACGATTTTCGAATTTCGAAGAGTCGTTTTATTTTTGAAAAATCGATTTTTTAATGCGACTGTTACTATTCGCCATCTTATTCCCCCCTTTTATTTGACATGCAATTCAGCTCCTAACCGCACGAGGGCAGTATAGGATTGCTACAGCGGTGTGAGATGGGCTACCAGCTAGGTTGATGCTCTTCTACAAACAGGAGAAACATGCAGAGACTACTACAGTCATCAAAAAGTTCTGTGTGGAACAACTTCGACAAAATAAACAAAAATGAGGTGCAGTGCAAACTCTGTGAGGCAAAGTTTGCGTATCACAAGTCTACAACAAGTATGCACAGTCATTTGAGAGCGAGGCACACAGGAGGCGGCAAGGGACTGTAATGCCAGGGCCACACCGCCCGCGGAAGCACTGCGAATAGCCTCGAAGTGAGGCCAGTTTCCTTTCGGCGCCCATGTTAACTGATTGTGTCATCCACACGGGCAGCGCTGCACCACGCCACGCAGCTCCGTGGCTGGCTCGCGCCCTGCAGCGATCGTTTT